AGTTTCGGGTATCGTTTTCAACGGAGGCGGTGTTGTCCCGGCACGCTGCCACCGGAAAAAGAGTCACCAAGCACCGGGGGGCTAGGGAGCAAAAGTTAAAGCTCGGTAAACTCGCCGCGCGGAAGACAGAGAGGAATAGAGGGCGGTTAGAAAGAGGCAGGGTGTGTGTGAGAGGAAGAGGGAGAGAGAGAAGGCACAGTGGAGGAGCTAATCGACCGAGGCGGCAATTGCAGCGCGGATTAAAATTCAAGTGTGGCCCAGATATCGGACACGTTGGGTCGTCGGGTCGTGACCCGGGCTGGCTGGCTGGTTAGCTGGCTTGTAGGCTAGGCTAGGCTAGGCTAGGCTAGGCTATGCTAGGCTAGGCTAGGCTCTACTCACGTAAAGTTCAGCCGATCCTCCGCACCGCTCCTGCCCCTCGGCATTATTAATTCTGTATCGGGGCTGCTCGTTCCTCGTTTTTCCTTTCTTTCCCTTCCTTTTCTTCCTTTTTACACCCTTTCCTCGGTTTCGTTGGCCGGATCTGGAAAATCGTGAACGAGAAATGAGAAGAGCGGCGCTTATCCTAGCCGAGGTGTGAGGATATCGGGGTTCGGTTAAATTGACTGAGGAGAGTTTGTTTTTTCGATTTGCTTTGGAGGCCATGCGATGTTTAGCTTGTTTTGTTGATTCTTAGGCGATCAGAGCTGTGTAGCGTTGTTTATGAGATGCTGGAAGACGGGGAGATCGATTTTTGGGGAGGCTTCGAGCGTCTTGATTTGTTGTGAACTGTGAGAGGTGATTCATGGGGTTCGAGGATAGTTGAATTCGTTTGGCTAACAAGAGAATTTGGTCTTTTCACTGTGTCGTGTAAGGACGATTCTGAATTAAAAACGTTAGGCACGCGTACTTTCTTTGTTAACCAAATTTCGCGTAAGAGTAATCGAAACAGCCCTCATGGGGAGAAATTTGAATTGCAGATTCGCCTGGACCAAGCTCTAGGATGATCCTTTCAGTCCGAAGTAACTTCCGCCTGTATTTTTCAATTTTAAGTGCACCAGTGTGAAATCAAGCCTCTGTTTTCGGTTATATTTATGTCTGACTCTACAGTAAACTGTTTTTCAGTGAACCTTCGGCATTCAGATTTGGAAATCCCTTTGAAGGATCCCAGGAGCTCTCCGGATCGAGCGTTCCGCTCGATGCACATGGATTCGCGGCGATTTTCTCGTCGAATTAGCATCCGTGGAGCCTGAAATCCGTTTACGACAGTTTCGCGATGATTTCAAAGTGAATTCGTTAATATTTCGCGTCGCGAGCCCGGCCGGGCCGCGTGCTTCAGGAGCTCGAGCGGCGGGAGCGCTTCGTTTCGAATAACTTCCGGTGCGGCGAGGAGCGCGCGCACGCTTTCTGCAATCAGGGACGTTTGAAATATACGATGCTATGAAAGGAACGTTCTCCAGCTCGACGAAGGATATAGCAAAATACAAACACGTTTCACCTGTGACGCGTTAACCTTTTAGGTGACGAATACAAATTTTTAGGAGAAGTACGCCTATTTTCACGATACACGTTAACTAACATGTCATTTCAAAGGAAAATGAATATTTTTATACAAAATGCTGGTATTAATAATAATAATAATGCGAGGGTGATTACTGTATCGATTCTATGCTAGTGGCTTCGCAATTATGCAGTCCACTGGTTCGCATTGTACTGATATCGAAGTATGTTGTTTCAAGGTGATGCCACCTGGAACTAAAGGGTTGAACGATTCCACGTGAAATTCTGAGAATCCGTGGAACTTGTTCCGTAAAACTGATGTTCACAGTTTCAGAACTTCTCTGGGAATAAAGTAAAAAAGGTTGTACAGAGCAAAATTAGATATTGATTTTGTACTTTAATAATACACAAACGAATTTATTTATAATTAACGAGGGTTAGTGCAGAGATTATTTGACTAAAAAAGCTTCAAACGATTGAGATCACTTAGAATTCGAACGGACAAAGAGAATTAAGGGTACAAAGATTTGGTAGACCTTTAGTTTCAAATGCAAAAAATCGGAGAAAGACAAATGAACTGTAATGATAAAATAAACTACGTAGGAGTGTATTGTAAACAAGTGAATATCCATAGAAATGGTTGTCGATACCAATGTAAACGACCACCATTTCAGATAAAAATTTCACGCGGTAAAGCAAGCAAAGAAGAACGATGTTGGGGCGCAACCGCGAATGAAAGATTCATGAAAAAAAGACAAGTGGATGTAAATTCAGCGAAGAAAACCGAGCGAATAGAAATTTCACGAATGAAACCCGAGCACGAGTCTTACACGAGAAATCCAGTGTTTATCGAGTGCCATTTGTAATCGGGGCGAACGTGAC